CCTTCTCCTCTGTGTGTGTGTGTGTGTGTGTGTGTGTGTGTGTGTATGTGTGTGTGCGCTCGCGCGTGTGTTTGCTATCTAAGTGTGTTGCAAGTGCCGTAAAACACTTGCTAAAACAAACAAGTAGTACAACACCGTCCACAACCGACTGCTGCATTCATCGACTCTCACCAGACGGTGACGTCAGCGGTGCTCTTCCTCGATCTGGCCTTCGATGGCTCTGTACTACTACCAGAGAAGGTTTACAGTAACATTGTATTACTGTAAAACTCTCTGGTACTTGGTAGGATGATAGGCTGCTTCTTCTTTCCTATCAAATATCTATCGTCCTTATCTCCCCTCCTTTTTTATGTTCTCCTCGGTGTGGCCTTCAATGGCTATGTACTACCAGAGAAGGTTCACAGTAACATTGTATTACTGTTAAAAAACTCTCTGGTACTAGGTAGTGGGTAGGCTGCTTCTTCTTTCCTATCGAACATGTATCGTCCTTATCTCCCGTCCTCCTTCTTTTTTATGTTCGTTACTCTCTTATAACACCTCTAATATTCTGGCGCTCATACGACCGTATGCAGTTGCGAGCGCCGTAAACCCTCTACTAAAACAAACTAGGTAGGCGTAGGTAGTTAGGCAGGTACACTTGTAACTGTGAGTGCGCGTGACGTCCCCGTACCGGCGCAACGAGTGCGTTGTCTGGGAGTCAGTGAGTCAGTGAACCCCACTGTGGTCAGCAGGCGTGTGGTCGTCGTGTGGTCCAGCGGCGCCTGTGCCATCTGTCTCAACTGTCTGTCGTAATTTCGTATTACATATATATTTATATATATATATTTATATATATATATATAGTTATGACTGATGTCACTCACAGACATACGTACATTCAGTCGTACATTCATGAATAAACACGCGCACACACACGCGTACGCACGCACGCACGCATACGCGCACGCACGCACGCCTGCACGTACACACACACACACGCTCACACAATACACACACATATATTATAATATACGTGTGTGTGTGTGTTTATAGATAGATAGACAGATAGATAGATAGATATCCACTCGTGTGTGCGTGCGTGCGTGACTGAGCGCTCGCGTGAGTGCCTGCATTTGAGTAGCGTTTCCAAGCACAGAAACTCTTTCTTTCCCCTGTCCTTGTCAATGTTCTAGACCTAGATTGATTTTCTTTACTTTATACTATTCTTATATTATTAAATCTCTGAATACAAAGTGGGTTTTGATAGGTTGTTTTGTTGAGG